TCTTGTCTGTCTTGTCTGGGCAGAAACTAGATAACAGTTCTAATCTGTTCCTAGATAAGATTAGATGTTCCCTTGATAGATGGCTTTCTGAGAAAATTTTTTTTTCTTCTGGAGAATACATTTTCTGAGACAGTTCCGCCATTTATAAAGCAACCTCCTCCTGTTACTTATTTCATCCCCTTATGTTACAATCTGTGGTTGCTAAGTTGTCTGTGAATTAGATAAGAGAGAAATAAGAGTGTGGTGAGAAGAAAAATTGTTAAGATGATATCAACACTTGTAGATGGTCAAAGGACTAATTACATATATATATAGAGAGAGATATATTTTAGCTTTGTTAGCATGTGGTTTCTTTGCGTACTTCCTTTGGCAACTGTCAAAAGTCAGTGGGTGGAAGTTGTCATGCCAGGAACAGAAAAATCAGGTAGCAGGCTCATCAAACAAAACAAAACAAAAATATGGTTAGTTGCCCAAGTGCCTGAGCAAGTACGATGAAGAGAAATAATGTAAGCATTTTCATGAGCACCTACTACATACAAGGTGCTATCTACATGTGAAAATAAAGGGTTATAAGATGCACTAAAGGATATATAATCTAATCGCTGTGATAATCTATCATACCTGTATAAAGCCTACCTACTTATGATCATTATTAATAATAACTATGATCAGCTAGTAGTACATACCAAGTAAAACATTTCTTTGAATTATTATTTTACTAAATAAACTACATCTTGTGCCCAATTTATTAGATATTAAAAACAAATGCACTGTTTCTCCGTAATTGCTATTTAGGCAAGAGAAAGCACTTCATGATAGTAGCATGAATATAGCCACTCAAATGTGCGTACACTAACTTTCAGCATTAAACTTGGATTGTTTTCAGTTTAGGATTGTTTTAATCCTAAATTAAACTTCAAAGGCCTAAGTCTCCTATTTGTTCTACTTTTTCTTAAAGATGCAAGGAAAACTTTGAAAGATCTAATTCTATTGTCCAGTCTAGTTCATCTTAGGGAAGCTTCTTTGACTTTCCGAGCTACACAGTAATGATGTCTGTAGAGATATGAGTTCATGTGGATCATCTTGGAAATCTGCCCTATTTTTCTTAATGTATAATCTTTACAAAACCCCTTCTTTTTAACTTCAATGTCTTTTAATTTCTTTTTCCTTTAATTTCTTTTTCTAATAATCTGATTAATGGGCAGTCACATAGATATCAAGAAAGTTTCTTTGGAACCTTTTTCTGATGGCTTTTTATGTTTTTTTTTTTTTTTATGTTATTGATTTTAATTTCAGACCCTCTCTTTGGTCCTTGGGATTTCTTGGAACTCCTAATCTCACCAGGAAATATTTCCTCAGTAGGTTATTCCTGAGATTTCTCTGAATGGGGCTCCTAAGGAACAGACTTTGAATACATTCTTTTAATTCATAAAGCTTAAAAAAAGGTAACAAGTTATTTTAGAAAAGCTTGCTTAAAAAATAAAATTTCATCTTGAGCAATAATCAAATCAGAAACACTCCCTTTGAGTTATCTTTGCCTGCCTGCCAGTGCCCCACCTTGTGTGCTACAGAGAAATGACTGTATTTTTCTCTTCTCAGTTGTTTCCATTATGTTTTCAGAGGAAGTAGCTTATTTTGTATGATGATAGTCCAAGTACATTGGTGAGAGGTTTATTGGTAACTTAGAGAGTTTGTGAAGACAGATGACCACAGTTAATGGCTGTTACTTATTGAGCACCTACTTATCAGCTATCTGTGCACTTCACGTATATTATCGGTAATTCATATAACTGTCTTCTTAGTTTTTCTTAACGGATATTGAAATCGAGGCTCAGAAAAGTTGCTTGCTCAAGGTCTCAACTATTAAGTCAGAAGCCCAGCTCTGAAGTCATCTTCACTTGACAACAAAGCTCAAGTTACCTATTTCATTCTCATATTTTGAATGAATCGTAATGAATTTAATGAGAGATATTGATTCTTTTTATAGTTCTAGTAACTATTAGTTCCCAAACCTTTCCCAGTCACTCACTCCCTTTTTTCATCATGCGTTTTATTTTATTCATCAATCTATAGTCATTTTATATTCTTTTTTATTCTGTACAGTTATTTATTTTTACCCCATCTTTCCTTCTGGATTTCTTTATAAATTAGTAAAAGGATATTTATTTGTACATAAATGTGGCCATGTGGAAGTGATTGCTGTCTGGTATGAGAATTGAAGATTGAGGTTAGATAACAGGAAAATAAGTATGGGATGCAAATACATTCCTGTGGCCTGTTAGTATATGTCTCCAGATATTGAAGTTAGTACATGTTTCCAGATATCGTTAGTACATGTTTCCAGATATCAAAGGCATGACTACACCTTGTTTCAGTTGTTAACACAACTATTCATGGTTACCATAATCTGAAAACCTTGGCTTTGTTCAATACACTGACTTAACAAATAGATTTACGTGATTCACTTATATAATAATGTTCATTTGTACCCAGTGGATCTCCAAAACCTAAGTTCATATTATATCTTAATATTTTCAACATAGAAAAAAAAATATAAGTCACCAAACTTGATTCTTTGCTAATCTAAAGATTGGGAAAAATCTACGCACATTTTCAAAGCCTCATTTGGTGGTGAGGTGTGATGGGAGACAGACGAAGGAAGCTGAACATACACTTCAGTCAAAGAATTCCAGTTATGGAATGGAAATCAAATCTCATGAGTGCTTGAGTCCTGTCCTGCTCCTCACATTTATTGAGTACCTATTGCATTCTAGGCATTCTGCTGTGAACTGAGGATACAAAGCTGAGCATCTCATGGGTCTTATCCTCACAAAGATCACAGTTTAGGCTCCAGTGTTAATTTTTAATCATTGCAAAGATGGTAAACTCTAGACAGAAAGAGGTGTGTACAGTAGAGTAAGCATGGAGCTTTGGAGGGAACTGATTTGTTGCCAGCATGACAGACCACTAGGTCCCTTCCTCACAAACATGAACTCAACCGTAGACCTCTTTGGTATGTAGAGCAGGACAGAACACTTGTTGGTTGGTTGTTCACCTTTACCGTAGTTTCCTGTTTTCCAGTCAAAAGATAGGTAAATAGGTCGGAGATAGGTAGGGATGAACGGGTTTTGTTGGTCGCTTTAGTTGGAGCTCATTAACACCACGACTAAAGGTTTTCCTTGTGTACCACAGTGTTGTGAAGTTACTTAATTTTTATCTTCTCTGAAGACTGATTTTATTGTAAAATTTTTAATTAGTCACCAGGAGTAAAGGTAATACATTTTATAGTTTAACACCTAGTTATTGAACTTCCTAATTTTACTTTTAGTCATTATCTCATTTTGTCCTCAATCTTGTGATGACAGGGCTATTTTTATAATTCATATTTATCAGGTAAAACCAGAAAATGTGTTATGCCAAAACTCACGCATTCTGTTAGTGGCGTTTCTCACTTAGAAGCTGAAAGCTCCTTCCTCCAGACCACACTGCCTTTCTTGAAGAATGTCTCCTGCCCACTGAAAGGTACAAATTGTCCACCTGGGTTGTGTGATCAGCTCATGATTAGGGCTCAGAAAAGAGATGTCATTTTCACTTAAATTCCAGAGGACAGGTGAAGGAGACAGTCCCACTGGTCTATAGCATGGATTTCTTAGACCTCAGGTGAGGGTACAGTTCCTATGACTCAAGTATATTCC